AGCATGAAATCTTATCGACTCGACACACTGCCGATAAGTGTCAGCGGTAAGTTCCTTATTTTCAAGCACTTAATTGAGAATTAACCTGGTGAGACTTGAGGTTCTAGAATATAAGGCTGTCTTAACAACTTATCACCAGATTCCGAATATACCGAACCGAATGCCAAGCCACTGCTTTACAACAGTTAAGCAGGGAAAGAAATGTTCAAATCTGACTATTTTTGTTATTTTGTAAGAGTTTTTCAATTTTAAAATAAATATATCTATTGTTTTTATCGTCACGACTAGGTGCATAGATAGATACAGGGCATTTCTACATCGTCTTTATTCGGAATATCCTATAGGCCAATAAAACTTTAATTAAAAGTGAAAATTTTAAATTGTAAATAAGTAATTTTAAACGGATCGTATACGTGTCAACACCACCTACAAGAAATTTCGGAAGTCATATTGACAGATGAGGGGCTTATGCTCGAAGCGCTTATCGGTCTATAGCAGGGGTGGTCAACACGAGGCTTGCGGGTCGCATGCGGCCCGCCTGCAGTCATGTTGCGGCCCGCGGAGCTAGGTCAAATGAAGTTAAACGTTTATGGATGGCTATAGGTGCTAAATTTCAAATGACAGATAGGTCTAATACAGCGATTCCCAACCCGGAGTACGCAATAAGTTATTTAGGGGTACAGAAAGAAGTTATTTATTATGGCAGAAAAATAATATATTATGTATAACAAATTAATAGTANTTCAATTTCGAATGACAAGTGTCGTCTAATATAAGTAATAAAATATAACAGCGATTCCCAACCAGAGGTATGCGTACCCTGGGGGTATGCGATAGGTTGTTTAGGTGTACAGAAAAAGTTAGTTATTATGGCAGAAAAAAATAATATATTATGCTAAGCTTACTATTAATTTAATATTCAAATGCTTTCAGCCTATTTTTAATAGGCCATCCTCAGGAAATTACTGTTTTACAATATTAAATTAATAGTAGTCTCAGCAAGTGTTTTGGTGTTTGATTAAATTTGTAATGTATTATGTATCACAAATTAATAGTATTAAAAAAATATTACGTAAAAAATGTTCCTTGCAACAATCACAAACTTTATTATACTCAGCAAGTGTTTTGGTGTTTGATTAAATTTGTAATGTATTATGTATCACAAATTAATAGTTATTAAAAATTATTACGTAAAAAATGTTCCTTGCAATAATCACAAACTTTATAATATATTTCAAAATGCAAAAATCGAAATAAATACTTATGCTGCAGATTGTACAATGCAACAATTGCAACATTTATTATTGCAACATTTATTGTTGATCAATAAATGTTGCAATAAATGTCGGTCAATGATAGTGGGATACCATTATGCATGATTAGTGATTGTGCTACAGACTTTTGATGGTGGAGTATGTTACCGTTATTATTATTATCTGTCAACAATATCCCTATGTATTGTTTGAAAAAAGTATTTTTTATTGTTAGCAAGGAAAAGGACATAGCTAATTTCTCCAGATTTTTTCTGCAAGTGGTAATTTTTTTCATTATTTATTCAGTATTTTTATTAATTTTTTATTGACAAGACTGTCTTGTTTATAAAATCGTACTACCTGCTGTGTTACCAGGAGTACATGTCAGAAGTTGCAATTTGGCACAGAATATTTGGTACCCAAATCATGCGCGCGTAAAGAAAGCTGACTTGTAGGTACTCAGGGAACCGAGAACCGAGTCAAAATAAAATTCAAAGCGGCGACACTCTCTACAAACAGGCAGTGCTAGATTTGCGCATGCATTGCTCGTTGGGAAGTTGGAAATGCCACAGTGGTACGCTAATGAAGAAAGGTTGCGAACCGCTGGTCTAATAGAATCGATATATAGGCCTAGTATATAGATCATACATTCTTTATTTGAATTCGGAATACAGTAGACCCCTATAACACGAGTTCATATAACACGGATTCGTATAACACAGCGAAAAAATTGCGACCGTGTTCGTATAACACGCTAATAGAGACTCGTATAACACGGTAAAACGTCATCGCTGACTTGTGTCGCGACAGGATTGGTTGAATCTGGACCAATAGTGGACATTCAACAAACCGTTGAGTTTAAACGTTTAGAATGAATTGACTTTTAAATAGTATGAAATAATAATATTTGTTTGTTTAATTCGATACTTAAGGCAAATATTTCAAAACGCAATTGAANTTGAAACAAAAAAAATTATGCATTCCATCACGTACATAAACAGTGTCGTAATTCGCCAAGTGCAAATCAGCAAATTCGTAAAATATTTGTTTATTTTGAACAATCCGGATAATCGAAAATCCGGATAATGGAGGTCCGGATAATGGAGGTTCTACTGTATTTCAAAACGCAATTGAAGTAAAAACGAAAATTTTATTAAAAGCTAAAGCTGCCATATCACAAACAATATGTTTTTTTAAATACATTTATACATAGTTTATGAATTAATTTTTCTAAATCTCAATCAATTTTTTTTTTCTTTTGCTTGTTCCTTTCGTCTCTCATCAATCTTATTAGTTAAAATTTTAATCTATTCGAGCACACTTTCTTCTCGTTTTCTTTTATTTCTTCTATTTGACGAAGGCTCTGCAATCATTCCAGGTAATGATAATGAGACATTTGGTAGTCTTAGATTAGATGACCATGATGAGTCTTTTGGTAGTATTGGATTAGATGACGACGATGAATCAATACTGGACTGTTATCAAATGTGGCAAGTGAAGTTATATCCGGCCTTCTCTTTATCGCGTCCTCCATAATACTGATGTGTTCCCAATACTTTATGTTATTTCCCGTTTTATTATTGTGGTCATTTATTTTTTTAAATGTTTTTTTTAATCCTCTCCATTTGCTGTCCACTTGTTGAATTGTTACTGTTATCTTTTCCGTCGAATTTAATTTTTCAGAAATCATTGCTCCTATCTATAAATGAAAATTTTTAGCTGTTACAATGACAATTTTTTTATGAAATAATAATGTGACAATGCCGAAGGGCCTCCCTATACTTCGGCACCACGTGATCGAAGGGTCGACATCGCGTCGGCGAAGATCGCAATGACAAGTTTTGTCAGGACTGACACCACTGTGTCTTTACGGACAGACACAGAAACCGTTGTGTTCTCGCTCGAACGATCGCGTGTGTAAGCGAACGGATTTGGGATGGAGGGAGAGACAGCGCACCGGAAGTGATTTACTCAGAGACGGGCTAACGTAACAACTATTTAATTGGTAACTATAGGCCATACAGGATATAAAATACAGTATATTGATTTGAAATATGCTATCTGTTAGAGATCTTTGCTACAATTGATATTAGATATAGATAATAGACATTAAAATAGATCTAAGATTTCGGTTACAGTTCTGCGGTTATCGAGAGAGAGAGTTTAGAGAAGTTGCGCGTGGCGATAAATACCTGGAGTTGAGAAGGTCCACAAGAGTTGTCATTAAGGTGGTGATTGTCGAGAAAGTTTATCCAAGAAGTTGTCTTTATGGCACAATGTTCTGGAATATCCAAAGTGAGTAGGTGATATCCGGGTGGGCACTGACAGTTAATTGTTGGAGGGGTTTCGGGATGATCGTACTCCTCGAAGAACAGGCGACGAATGCCTCACTTTGTTGTCCTATTTTCAGGTTGTATTATTGAAACGGAGATATTAGGTCGAAAGGTGATGAGAAAGTGTCGTTAATAAGCCTGGGAACTTAATAGATGTTTAGCTATCATGTGTAAAAGTTGATAGTTATTGAACGAAAGTATAGCTACAATGTGAAATGATGAAATGAGATAAACACACTGAAAGTCTGGATTCGGATCCTCACAATAACCTATAATAGTTGTCCTGTCAGATTTAAAGAAACTATGTAAAATGTTTCATATTATAACTTTTTAGAAAAACTTAGTAATAAAAAGTAGTACTTACTTGTTTCTGAATAGAACGTGGTGAATCAAATTTTTCTTTGTGTTCTTTCACAAACGATATTAAATTCAATATCGCCCAATGAAGCCATTGAAATATGCTACGGTCAAAATCATCTATTTATATTATATATATATATATATCAATGATTTGAATTTGTCATATTAAAATATTTGTTGTGGTCGCGAACTACCGTGTTTCCCCGAAAATAAGACATCCGCAGAAAATAAGACCTAGCACAGATTTTGCTGAATTGCAAAATATAAGACCTCCCCCTGAAAATAAGACCTAGCGAAGTTTTTTTAGTCGTAACGGTCATCGACAGATGGTTGAAAGTGGCCGTTGGCTTTTTGAAAGTACAGCCACTGATTGGTCAGCAGACAATTACGCCACACGGCATAATTTGCATAAGACTATGGCTTGGGAATCACAGATTTGCATAACGTTACGGCTGGTGATGGCTAATTGGTCG